AATCTTTTGCCCAATGTGGGGTCTGAACCCACGACCCTGGATCCACTTCCCTGCTACCAGTGCTGGCCCAGGACATTGTGCATCCTGACCCAGAGCCCAAATGGTGCTGTGCTTCCGATAGGGCCAGCTTATTAAAAAAAAAAGTCTTGCTGCACCTTTCAGACACCGGCTGGTGCCTTCACCTGCCACTTCCTTATGGCCAGCTCTTGCTACTGCAGTCCATGAGCTTATGCCAGGATTAACTGAATATATAGGTACAAGCTTGCATCTGAGTTCCTGCGAGACAGAGGGGCTGGGGAAGCCCTAGCAGAATCGATGATGGTCAGCCAGTTTTAACGATAGCAAATTTGTGTCCATAGTCTCAGTTGAAAGGCCCTGTTTCACAATTTGTGAACACTGAGGCTCAGAGATATACAACTTGCTCATGGATCAGGCACGTTAAGTGTGTGAGACCAAAGCCTTCTCCTTGCTGTTGTTGCTAGCATTCCAAAATTGGGAGTTATAGACTACTTAGCTGATTTACCAAAAGATCCTGATCTGCTTTCTGCCAGCCCTGGGTGGAGGCTGTGCCTTGGAAAAATGCAGAAAACAGGAAGGTTGTCAGAGGCTGGAACGGTACATTAGCACCTTGGAAAGCTCTCTCTACTTTCCCTATGATGATCTGCAAGAGAATAAATAATGCAAGTCGAGGAGATAGATGCAAATTTGTGTAGTTTTCACGGGCTGCAGGGTTCTGCCTCCCTTGACAGCACACTTGGGGTTTCGTGGCTCAGGATTCTGAATTTTAGCTCAGGTTTATATATAGATCTAATGAACATCCTCCGACTCGGAGAAAAGGATTTCCCCATGATGGGGGGGGGGGAAGGCTGCTGTATTGACTGAAGGGGTGGTGGAGCATTGCTTGTGGATTCTGACCCCGCTGCAGCTTTTTCTGACATTGAACATGTTTTAAAAGGTTGCATTTCAGAGGCAGAGCATCTTGATTTGCATGCAGAAGGTCTCAGGGTTAATTCCGGGCACCTACCGTATTTTTTGCTCTATAAGACTCACTTTTCCCCTCCCAAAAAGTAAGGGGAAATGTGTGTGCGTCTTATGGAGCGAATGCAGGCTGCGCAGCTATCCCAGAAGCCAGAACAGCAAGAGGCAATCACTGCGCAGCGATCCCGCTTGCTGTTCTGGCTTCTGAGATTCAGAATATTTTTTTTCTTGTTTTCCTCCTCCAAAAACTAGGTGCGTCTTATGGTCTGGTGCGTCTTATTGAGCAAAAAATACGGTATATTCTCTGCCTTGAAAACCCTGTAGAGCCACTGCCAGTCAGCATAGAATACTCAGCTTCGATGCACATTGGTCTCACTCAGTAGAAGGTAGCATTCTATGCTCCTAAATCTCCCGCAGTCTTTTGCATGGCTTCCCAAGCACACATGAGCTTTGACCTGATAGCCCGACTCCTGAACATCTGACAGCAGGATGCCCTCTCCTTTTGACCGAAGGACAAAGTGGGATAATCCCACAGTTGCCAGATGTCTGATTAAGGAAGCTGTAGTTGCTGCTGTATATCCCCCAAAATAGCACAGCTGCAAACAGCGTAATGGATACCGTTTGCCAGGGAATATTACAGCCCCATTGAACTTGCATCATAAATCTGCAGTTTCCTATTACGGTTTTGAATCGGGATTTGGCAACATGGGTTCGCTAGATAGACCGGGGACCAGTTTGAATGTTGCTATATTAAACTTTTCTTTAAAAATCACGATGGGAGCAGCCCTCCCAAGGAGAATGTCAAGCAATTAAAAAACAACAACCCAGGAATTTCAAAGCCACACACTCTTTCTTGACCCACATCTATTTGAAATTGGATAAGCTCTGCAAACATTTTTGTCAGTCGGGTCTCTGCAGCACTCGGCCAATCCTCAACGAAGTGCATTCTTTGCAGCTAGCCTGGAAAACAATGCAGTCACTAATTTGAGCACCTTGGTTTTTAATTTAATATTAGTGGTAAGAAAGAGCAGTGGTGGAGTATGCGTATTTCTATACTGCCTACTTTTTGCTTAATCATTTGCAGTTGTTTATGTGTGAACAGAGGAGGAGAAATGGGGGGGTGGTCTGTGTGTGCGCTGCAGCTTTCAACATTTGTGCGTTATTGGAACTGTAAGGTTCGCCCGTGTTTCTAGGTTTGAGATAAGGGTTGAGGTTTTGTATCCCTGTTTTTCTTCAGATTGAAAAAACAACAGAGTGTGTATGTTTGTTTGGCTGCTGTGAAACCGCTGGTCAGCAGGATCTTCTGTTGTGGTGAATGTAGTATGTGCAGTTTGTACAAAGGACACCTTATTAAATACATACGGAAGAGGCTCGTGCTATTTATTTCTGAAGCTTATAGCTCCTCATCATGTTTCCGCTGTAGTAGGAAGCTGTTGAAGGTGGGGAGGAGTTGGTGGTGTCAATAGTTAAACCCCTTAGGCTTCATCACACTTTGATTGGGCAGAATATTGCATGTACATTTTCCTTCTCAGTAAGCCAATTGGCAAGCCTTCATACGTTTTAGAAAAAACCTAGCATCCCAGAGGACCTGGAGCAGACATAGGCAAACTCTGGCCCTCCAGATGTTTGGGACTACAATTTCCCATCATTCCTGACCACTGGTCCTGTTAGCTAGGGATGATAGGAATTGTAGTCCCAAACATCTGGAGGGCCGGAGTTGGCCTATGCCTGACCTGGAGGCATAACTTAAACATCCTCCTCTCTGTCACTGGCTCCTTGTGTGGTGTTGGGTACGATGCTCTGGTATCCTTGCAATCCCAGGGGCAGCCAACTAGCCATGGCGTATAGCAGAGCTGAAGCAATAGCCAAGTGTCACCTTAGAAAATGTATTATTCCATCGGTGTTCAATGATTACAAAAATGATGCATCAGATGACGCGAACTTTAGCGTGCTGGTACTGCTGTCTTGTCCCTCTTGCTAAGCATGTGGTGTGGCGGCACATACCCGGGCGCTGTTGTCATTAAACGACGTCCATTTTGCTTCTTAAGGTCCATGAATAATCATAGTTTAGAGGTCCCGGGCCCTAAGCAAGTTAGATTATCTTCCACCAGGGCCAGGGCCTTCTCAGTGATGGCTCCGACCTGGTGGAATGCTCTGTCCCATGAGACCAGGGCCCTGCAGGATTGAACTTCCTTCCGCAGGGCCTGTAAGACAGAACTATTCCATCTGGCTTTCAATTTGAACCTGGCCTGATCTTTTGTTCCCCTTCCTTCCCTTCCCCTCCCCTTTTTGTGAAGATTGCCCGCACTGGGATCCCACAGCTGGTTCTCCCCTGGTCTCCTCACTGGCCCAAGTGGGACTAATTTAGCCAGCTAGCCCTGGTGATCCTCTAATGTTTATTGGATGGATTTCCCCCCTAAATTGATTTTTGATTTTATTGTTATTTACGTTTTATACCGTATTTTATGCTTTTTTTGGTGTAGCATCAATTAAGTGTTTTAAATTTGTTGTTAGCCACCCTGAGCCTGGTTTCCTGAACCGGGAAGGGCACGGTATAAATTAAAAAAAATTATTTATTATTATTTTCCTCCCCTGCAGGGCCAGGCCACGGTGAGGCCGAGACCCGGGAATGCATCTATTACAATGCCAACTGGGAGCTGGAAAAGACCAACCAGAGCGGGGTGGAGCGCTGTGAAGGGGAGAAGGACAAACGCCTCCATTGCTACGCCTCCTGGAGAAACAACTCCGGCTCCATCGAACTGGTGAAGAAGGGGTGCTGGCTTGACGACTTCAACTGCTACGACAGGTGAGAGGCACAGGCAGAACCAGGGAGCAGCAGCACACTCCTCACTCCCTCTTACATGCGTGCCTGGGTGTCCCTTGCCCCCCAGTCCATGGAGCTTGGAGCTTCAGCCATGAAGTCGCTTAGGCGGGGAGCTTTGTTTATAGCATCTGGAAGGTTGGGGAGGCTCCTCCCTCTTTTCATCTGCAGGGCCACGTGTCAGCGCTGGGCGGGGCCAGAGGCAAAAGTGGGCGGGGCAATGAATGCAAATTTTGCCATCTACCCTACACAACCACTTGAATTTTCAGAGTGGCTGAAACACTTTTTTATCCAGTGCTGTTGTCGTTTAGTCGTGTCCGACTCTTCGTGACCCCGTGGACCAGAGCACGCCAGGCACTCCTGTCCTCCACTGCCTCCCGCAGTTTGGTCAAACTCATGCTGGTAGCTTCGAAGACACTATCCAACCATCTCGTCCTCTGTCGTCCCCTTCTCCTTGTGCCCTCCATCTTTCCCAACATCAGGGTCTTTTCCAGGGAGTCTTCTCTTGTCATGAGGCGGCCAAAGTATTGGAGCCTCAGCTTCAGGATCTGTCCTTCCAGTGAGCACTCAGGGCTGATTTCCTTAAGAATGGACCGGTTTGACCTTCTTGCAGTCCATGGGACTCTCAAGAGTCTCCTCCAGCACCACAATTCAAAAGCATCAATTCTTCGGCGATCAGCTTTCTTTATGGTCCAACTCTCACTTCCATACATCACTACTGGGAAAACCATAGCTTTAACTATACGAGCCTTATTTTTCTAGAAAAAGAGGTGCTGGAACTCAACATGAACACCTCCCTTGTTCTCTTATAATGGCAATGGCGCCCACCTGAGAGGTACCGGCACTGAGTTGTGGCGAGAAAAAAAAGCCCTGGTAGTATCCATTGAGATGGACTGGTTTTTTTGGGGGGGACCTTTTAAAATACCTTTTTCTTCACTATTAATTTAAACAACAAAAGACAAACAAAAAAAACCCAGCCAGCTGACATCTGCAGTTCTTACTATATTAACTGCAACTTGACAATTCCATTCATTCCATTCACAGTTAGTTAATTTCCAAATACACACACAAACACCATCTCAGCTGGAGACTACAGCTATACGTGTCCACCCATAAATAAGCCACAATGACTTTAACAAGAATCATTCCTAGATAAGAGTGTTTAGGGTTGTAGTCTCAGCCTGTTCCTGCTGACATCTGAGGAAGAGCCGTGGCTGAGTGGTTGATCACCTGCTTTGCAAGCAGAAGGTCCCAGGTTCAGTCCCTGGCTTCTCCAGGTAAGGCTGGGAATGTCCTCTGCCTGAAACCTGGCAGAGCCTCTGCCTGTCCGTGTAGGCAATAGTGAGTTCAATGGACCATTGATCTAACTCTGTATAAGGTAGTTCCCTCTGTTCCTGCAGTTTCTCTTATCTTCCTAGGGCTTAAGCGTTCTCTTCCCCCGCCCTGCTTTTTTCTGCAATTCATTCATTTCCTATTTCTGCATTGCATCTGTTAGCCGGTGATGTTGCTCTCAACCCCCTCCTGCACGTCCCTTTTTTTTAATCTTCCTAATTTAGTTTATGTTCCTTGTCATTTCTTTGCCTTGCTCAGCCTTCTAAATTGCTGTTCGGCAGTTAGCAGATCAGCCATGCTACACGATCTCCCTGTCGGAGTCTTTTTCTCCTCCTGCTCCTACACAAACCAGATTTCTCCAGTTGGCATTACCACTCTTAAGCTTCCCTTCCTCTTCCCAGTCTCGTAGGGTGTGGTGGTGGGATGGCTCTTCGCTTCTCATCTTTTGGCCGGTATAATGTCCTTTATTTCCCCCACACCTCCTGCCATTATTTTCCCCCATGTCAAGCTTTGCGCCGCTGCGTATTTCTTGGTCGCCTTTAATTTATGGATTGCTGCGATGGGTGGTTTTTTTATTCGTGTAGCACACCTAGTATATGAATTGCTTCTATAAATGGGAATAAATTATGATTACGACGAGTAATCTAACGCCAGCGACTACTGTTGCCACTTCTGCTTGGCGTACCCTCCTCTAAAAGGAATCCCATGAGAATTGGGGGGGGGGGCAGGGAGAACATGCAAGCCTCCAGATGTTGCTAGACTCCAACTCCCATCAGCCCTGTGCAGCATGGCCAGTGGGCAGGGATCATGGGAGTTGTAGTCAAGCAACGAGCCACGGTTTCCTTATCCCTCTTAATAAATGACCCAAACTCCTCCCCTCTATACAGGGGCATACTTTGCTACCATGCCTTGAGCAAGGACAAAATTTGGTCCACCCCCTTAGATATTTCTTATTTTTACAATAATTTCTATTAACTATTATTTTGTGCCCCTTCGGCTCAGCACCCTGTGCAGGGGAACCGCCTGCATTGCCTTAAATCCGGCGCTGCTTTATGACATCACTTCCTGTTTACTGGCCTCTCCCCGCCCTTGGAAGCACAAGTGCTCAAAAAGCCCAATTTGCCACGTAAATGGGGAGCCTTATACTAAAGTAGCTGCAATTAGTTTACTAGCCTGCCCCATCAAATTATCCCACGCCTGAAAACCAGCGGAAAGTTCACAAAACACCTGGAGACTGGGGACCAGAAAGGATTGTGATAGAGGAAGGAAGGAATGCTCCCATCTTTTCAGCAACAAGGAGCAGTTTTATTATACATGACTGCAGGCCTGTTAAATCCCATCTTTTCAACTCCTTTAATTTGGTGTCTATAAGAGCAAACGTTAAAGGCCTTCTTTTCCTCGTGGTCGTGAAATCCAGGAAGCTAAGGAGCTTTTGGGTGTTTTCACACTCGATAATTTCTGGCGTGCCCTGAGAAATGTTCTGTACAATTACGTGGAGAGCAGCGTGTTCTTCCGAGAGCCACGTGCTGCAGAAAAGGAGAACTTAGTCATTCGGAGCTGCCTACTGGAGCAGAAAAGCACACTTAGCTAGGGTGATAATGGCCCTGCTTTTAGAGCGGCTGTTTTCATTCTGCCTTCCCAGTGCACCTGTTCACACATACACAGGCATTGTATCTTGTCCCTTGATTACTCAAGTTTTTGCTTACCCTCAGCCAAAGGCTTTGGAAGACTTCTGAAATGTATTGAGGGCTTTCTCCCCGGGTCAGTATTGTACAGTGGTACCTCGGGTTAAGTACTTAATTCGTTCCGGAGGTCCGTTCTTAACCTGAAACTGTTCTTAACCTGAAGCACCACTTTAGCTAATGGGGCCTCCCACTGCCGCCACACCACCAGAGCACTGTTCTCATCCTGAAGCAAAGTTCTTAACCTGAGGTAATATTTCTGGGTTAGCGGAGTCTGTAACCTGAAGCGTATGTAAAATAATAATAATAATAATAATAATAATAATAATAATAATAATTTATTATTTATACCCCGCCCATCTGGCTGGGTGCCCCCAGCCACTCTGGGCGGCTTCCAACAAAACACTAAAATACCTATTAAACATTAAAAGCTTCCCTAAGCAGGGCTGCCTTCAGATGTCTTCTAAAAGTTTGGTAGTTATTTTTCTCTGACATCTGGTGGGAGGGCGTTCCACAGGGCGGACGCCACCACCAAGAAGGCCCCCTGCCTGGTTCCTGAGGTACCACTTTATTAGAATGTGCTTCTAACCATAAACAATAACTGAAAGCTGAGGACTATAACTAATAGAGCAGAAACAATTCCTAGGAACACACAAAGCCTCTCTACACAGGGTCAGTCAAAACATTGGTCTACCTAGCTTAGTACTGTCTACACTGACTGGTAGCAGTTTCTCAGGGTTTCAGGCGGGGAATCTTTTTCCCAGCCCTACCTGGAGGTGCTGGGAATCGAACCTGTGAACCTCCTGGATGCAAAGCAGATTATCTGCCACTGAGCTACCCTGAGTTTGCCGTCTCCTTTTGGGAAGTGGCGCAGACTGAGCCCTGAGGAAAAGGTGGACAATGAGAATGGGAGGAAGATAGGTGGGAGGAACATTTAATGATGATAGGATCATAGAGTTGAAATGGACCCTCAAAGCTAGTCTAGTCCTACCCAACTGCAATGCAGGAATCCCAACTAAATTATCCATGGCAGATGGCCATCCATCTTCTGCTTAAAAACCTCCAAGGAAGGAGAGTTCACCACCTCCCAAGGGAGGACTGTTCCACTGTCAAACAGCTCTTGCGGTCAGAAAGTTCTTCCTGATGTTTAGTCAAAATCTCCTTTCTTGTAACTTGAAGCCATTGGTTTGGAAGCCGTCGGTTCTCCTGCCTCCAGAGCAGGAGAAAACAAGCTTGCTCCATCCTTCGTGTGACAGCCCGTCAGATATTTGAAGATGGCTACCATATCTTCCTCTCGGTCTCCTTTTTTCCATGCTAAATATACCCAGCTCCTTCAACCGTTCCTCATACAGCTTGGTTTCCAGACCCTTGATCATCTTGGTCGCCTGCCTCTGCACACGTTATTATTTAATTAAATAAAATAATAGTCAGGGATTGATCCCGGGACCTTCTGCATTCAAGTCCGATGCTTTGCCACTATGCTATGGTCCATATAATCCAGGCTTCCTGAAACTTGGCCCTCCAGATGTTTTGAGACTACAGTTCTCATCATCCCTCACCACTGGTCCTGCTAGCTAGGGATCATGGGAGATGTAGGCCAAAAACATCTGGAGGGCTGAGTTTGAGGAAGCCTGATATAATCAGTAGCCACTGATTGAATCCTCTTTGGAAGGACAGAGGGCACTGCAGGGAAATTTGTTGGCATATAGCTTCCGTTACAGAAAGCTTGAGGTAGTTACCCAAGGTTTCTGTTCTGTTGTCTTCGTTCTCCCTTTCCATCAGTACAGAGCTCCTGGAGCCAACTGCAGTTCCTACGCGAGGCATTGGCCACAAGTGTGAGCAGCTATTTGTGCAAATGAATCGACGGGCATAACTTATAAATGAGCTCAGAGCTTGCTGCCTGATAAGCTGCGGCTCATTGCTCGATAGCATCACACAGGAAGCAGTTGCCACAAATCATTCTCCCTTATCACATTGGCTCAGATCATCGCTTGACCAGGGGAAGCAGGTCAGACTGCTGCAGAAGAAGGAAAATCTGTGGTTCAGAAACATCGTAAAGCAATTTTTGCTTCCCTGAAGGGTTTAGTCTATACACTTCCAAAAGCAACCGTTGATAAGTGGAAGAGTTGGTGCAGTGTTGTTAAGTAGCATCTTAAGATAGGACATCCCTGGTCCAGAATTTGAGTTCAGTCAGTGAGCTAGCTGCATAGTCTTGGTCAGGCTGTTGCCTTCTCGCGCTCAGTCTCCACGCCTATTTTGTAATATGGGGAAAGTGTGGCGTTTAATTCACAGGATTATCCCCACAAAAGCTACCTGCCAAGCCCTTTCTCCTGTAGCAAAATAACAAATTGCAGGTGTGCAGTGGTGAACGATCCACTCACCTGCATTTTCTCCCTTGAGTTTTCAAACTCAAATGTTTTGTCAAACTCAAATGCGTCACACACACCACAATTGTGCTAATAGCAAATGCTAATTTGTTGCAGGGTGGAGGAAATAATGGAAGGAGGATACAGACAAGTTCATTCTCTTACATTTTTTTTTTTTAAAAACAACTATTCTTTAGACTCTTTGGGCCTTAGAGCTTAAGGGGAAAGTAAACAACTCACATTCCACTTTAGTTTTGATTTTTTTCTTAGGCTTTTAAATCCTTTGAACTATCCAAATGCTGAAGTTTCCGAGGGTCATTTGGATGAACTTGAATTGAACTGTGAACTGAGCATGGAACTGAACTAGTTCACTTTGTAAAGGGACAACCTCAAAGTGGAACTTGTTCCTTAACTCGAGAACGAGATCGGGTTCCTTTGAAAAATGGAATTTTCCGAGCTCTGGGGGCAAACATCATTTGTAGCACAATAATTTGAAGCAGAGGATGGCAACCGCCTTCATACTGGTGCGGTTTAATTGCGGCTATGCTGTGCTGGCAGGCATTTGCTGGCATCATTTACAGGTGGATTTGGTGCAATCTGCCACAAGAGAGAAGACTCGTTGCCAGCAAAGTCCCACCTGTAAATTACTGCTTTTTTTAAAAAAAGCAAGCAAACCCCCAAACTGCTGCTTATGGTGTCTTTGTTGTTTAGTCGTTTAGTCGTGTCCGACTCCTCGTGACCCCATGGACCAGAGCACGCCAGGCACTCCTGTCTTCCACTGCCTCTCGCGGTTTGGTCAAGCTCATGCTGGTCGTCCCCTTCTCCTTGTGCCCTCCATCTTTCCCAACATCAGGGTCTTTTCCAGGGAGTCTTCTCTTCTCATGAGGTGGCCAAAGTATGGTGTTCTAATGGCACCATGAAATAATCCGTTAAACAGCCATGGCTGTTTCGTGTCCCTTACTCCTCTGCACATGGCTCTGGGGAAGAAACATGGGGGCAGCTGGCGTTTTCAGGTAGCTTAGCCGTGGCCTTTCATCTCGTAATAACATTGCTGCAGTGGCTCTGTGTGGTGCTGGAAAGGTTCCTTGTCCCTTCTGCCTGTTTCCTTTGAAATACAAGGGGGAAGCAACGTGTGGGCATGTATATGTTCTCAAAGCGCAAGGATATTGGAGCTAAACTTGTATATTGAAGCTATACCTTTAAGAGTTTTAACTCGCCCTTCTGCAAAGTTCCTGTGCACGTAAAGGGCTCTTGAGATCTCATGCGGCGAGCTTTCTGCCTCTTTATAACAAAAGGTTCGGTGGATTGGCAAAATACAGCAGAAAGCCGGCATTAAATAGGATAAAGACAATTCATTGTGCACCTTTCTTCTGAGGGCAATATAAGAATCCACTGACTTTTATCTTATTTTCTTTTGTGTTGTCTTGCTGTATATATTTATATATATAGGCAGGAATGTGTGGCCACAGAAGAGAGCCCACAAGTGTTTTTCTGCTGCTGCGAAGGAAACTACTGCAATGAAAAGTTCACTCACTTACCCGAAGTTACTGGCCCAGAAGGTGAGGCTTTTGTTTATCAAGAACAAAACTCTTTGTATTGGAAGCCGACTTCAGTGGGTTTCTGCTAACCTTGAATTCCTGGCTCAGCAATAGAACACGGAACCTAATTAGAGCAGTGGCATTTCATATTGCAGAGTCGAGGAGTTCTCAAAAATTTTAAGTTTCTACAGAATGTTGCTTAGTTGTTTCCCGGTCTTCTGGGTGAAGGGAATTGTACGCTAGTCTCTCTCCACCTGTGAAGCAAAAGAAATGCGCTCCTTTTCTCTCTGGCAGGATTTCTGGGGTGCATCACTGCAGGCAGAGCGCTTGTGGGAAGGGAATGAGATAGTCTGGTTTACACAGATTTAGCTAAGTATCTCAATTAGCTCTTGGCCAAATGGCAGCTGGCAAGGTAAGTGGTGGTGCTAAGGAAGATAGGAAGCTGCTGAATAACAATCTGTTGATTTATCTAGCTCAGCATGGTCTACTCTCACTCCCAGGGGGCAGCCCAGTGTTTCAGGCAGGGGTCTCTCCTAGTCCTACCTGGATATGCTGGGGATCGAACCCACAACCTTCTGCTTCCCAGGCAGGTGTTCTGCCACTGAGCTACGGCCCTCCCCCAGTGCAGAGGCTAGACTTGGGCAAGCCAGGTTTTCAAACCCAGAACCAGCTTGGCCAAATAATCAGGTTGCTTGAAGCAAACAAGAATTCAGAATCTCTGTTAAAATCCAAATCCAATCCAAGCGGTATAAAGCGAGCAAGGCCACGAACAGAAAGCTAGAGCAAGGTGCATTGTGATATTTTTTCCCTTTCAAAATAATGCTTTGTAACATGTAACGACAAAGCCAACCGAATTGAAATGCAGGAGGGGGAAAATAATTTCTTTTCTTCCTTCGGTTTTTTTGCTGAATCAGATTGGAGGTAAACAAATGAGTCAGTAATTCCTTTCCCCCCTGCGTTGATATTGCACGGATGGATCCAGTAGCATTCAGACCATTTGCGAGCAACATATTATAGTCCTTTTGAAATGCATTAAAAAAAAAAAAGTTGCCAAGGTGAAACTTTGCATTAGCAGCGCCCTTAAAACTCAGGGCACTTAAACTCATCTAGCAATGTAACTGTGAAAAACACCAAGAGCAAAAACGTCCATCTGTATACAAGATAAAGGCCAGTACTGATGCAGACTCGGGTAGAAAAAATCTTCACCTGAAAGATCGGTGGGGAAAGGAAGCTCTTCAGCAGACGCCAGAAAGTGGACAGAGAGACAGCGCCTGTCTGAGATGTAATGGGAAGGAGTTCCAAAAGGTTGCGCCCTCACCAAAGAGGAGTCCTGATGAGATGGTATCTACAAGGAGGGCCTCCCCTACAGAGTATAGTGATCAATATGAAGGGCAAGACGATCTTTTGAGTATCCTGGTCCCAGGCAGTATAATGCTTCTTTGTACAAAGGTACCAGCACCTTGAACCTAGCCAGGTGGTTCATTTGAAGCTATTCCCAACTGAAAACTTAGTTGTGATGGCTGCATTCTGCCTCTGCTATTGGAGACAACATGTCCCTGGGTAATAGTTGATGGGGATCACAGGTGGGGAGAGAGTTGTTTTGCTGGTGGGCTTCCCAGAGGCATCTGGTTGGCCACGGAGGACAGGATGCCACATGCAGCCGGCTTTGCCATTAAGCAGACTGAGGAGGAGGCCTCAGGCAGCAGAAGCCCCTAGGGTGGCTGCCCCGTGGGCGCCCTGCTGCCAGCATAGAAGTGCCGCCAGCACAGGCTAAAATCACACCTGAAATTGCTCAAATCAGGCACAATCTCTCCCAAAATTGCAGGAATGTGGGCAGAGAAGCAGGGCCAGTGGGAGCAGGTATGGTGGGAGGGACAGGGCAGGGGGAAGTGACGCTGCTCCTTTCTCCTCAGGTGGCAAAGCAGGACGTTCCACCCCTGATCCTGGACTAGGATGGGCCATTGGCCTGATATAGCAAGGACTCTTTTTATCTTCTCTAACTTGAGGTATGGGAAGCGGGTGGCGCCGTGGGTTAAACCATAGAGCCTAGGGCTTGCCAATCAGAAGGTCAGTGGTTCGAATCCCCGCAGTGGGGTGAGCTCCCGTTGCTCCTGCCCACCTAGCAGTTCGAAAGCACGTCAAAGTGCAAGTAGATAAATAGGTACCACTCCGGCGGGAAGGTAAACAGCTTTTCTGTGTGCTGCTCTGGTTCACCAGAAGCGGCTTAGTCATGCTGGCCACATGACACGGAAGCTGTACGCCGGCTCCCTCGGCCAATAAAGTGAGATGAGCGCCACAACCCCATAGTCGTCTGCGGCTGGACCTAACGGTCAGGGGTCCCTTTACCTTTAGCTTGAGGTAATGGTGTGTAGTGACTGGAACATATTTGTATGTTGAGGGTTTCATGCAGAAATCACCCACGGAATTTGTGCGACAATCAGACCTGAGGAGTCTGATAGGCCCACATATGGCCACAAATCTTCTCAGGGCATTGATGAGGCTGGAAGCGTCCGATGAACTCAAGGATCTTGATTTGGGCAGCAAGGATACTCAAACGCGTAAAGAGAACTGCCCAACGCTTACTGTTAGCTTGACCTCCCCTTGTCTTGCCTGTAACCACGCTCCAAGGTCCGAAGACGTTGAGGCCCACATTGGTGAAACGTGGTTCACTGCACAAAAGCAGGTCAGAGCAGTTTACTCCTAGTGGCAGCAGAATTGGTGCCTCGGGATCCAGAGTGGGAATCTGATCGGCGATCGATCTAAGATGAGGGTGATGGAGTGTAGCAACCTGTGCAGCTGCTGCCTCTTGTTTCAAGGTACGAAGCTTAGCTTCAAGCGCCGCAGCTTCTCTCCTCAAGACTTCTTCCTTCCTGGCGAACTCGACGCGCTTTCCCGCAGCTGCTGCCTCATCCTTCGTGAGGGTTACTTCATTTGCCATACATGATGCTCTGGATGGATAAGACGATCTGTTGGTGTAAGAGTGGGAGTGAGAGCTCCCTGTCAGCGAGGAGCGGCGAGAACAAGGAGAGTGTTTGTGCTGTGAGGAGTGGCGTTCTGAAGTGACTACTGACGAACTTGCGATGGATCTGGAGCAAGGCCTTAACAGTAGAGAAGCCTGGGCCGCTGCCTTGAGAATGCGGCTTTGGTTCATCAGCTGACTTGTCAGCCTCTGTGAGAAGCGCTGCTTCTTGTTCCTTTATGCCAGGCATGTCCAAAGTCCGTTTCAGGGGCCCAATCCGGCCCGCTGGTTGGCTTAATCTGGCTTCTGTGGCAGTTTATTTCCTGAGGTAAAATGCTAAAAAAAAACCTCAACAACTTCAATCCTGAAAAAAAGCTCAACAACTTTGGTTGGCCCTTTGGTTGGCCCCCACGGCCCTTCATCTCATCAAATCTGGCCCTCTTTGAAAAAAGTTGGGACACCACTGCTTTATGCTCTTCAAAGTGTTCATGGCCTCATGGAAAGTGGAGTCCCTCTGGCCGTTCACCTGCTTGAAATGCTGCCACTCATCGCAGGTATCGCTGGGGTGTAGTTGCGCAAAAATGGCGGAGAGGCAATCTGTGTAAGATGTCCTTTGCACCAGGCGTTTGGCCAAGCAGGTCCTCTGGTGAGGCATCTTCTCCAGGAGTGTTGCACCATCAGTCTCCAGAATGTCTTTCTGCAACCTCTCCCAGACTCTGTCAAGCTGCCCTAGCTGATTTGTCTTCTGTTCCTCTTAAGGTAGCTCTCATTTTGGGGGTCAGCTTCCTAAGTCTGTTTTGACCTGAAGACCCTGTGTCACCATTAGTTGTATCAGAAGCTACTTCCTGTCTCTTCCCCTGTTTGGTTGTGTTTTGAGAATGGTCTCCCATTTTCTTTAAGAATTTGGTTCAAATACACTTAAAATTGGCAGGCTGCGGTACCACATCTCAACACTAGATTAGGTGTGGCTTTCTCTGGAGGGTTTTATTCCTGTAATCTTTCAGTTTAGCTGTTTGAGAAGGTATGTGGGCTTTGCAGTTGAGAATTAGCACTTCAAGGAAATTGCAGTGGAGAAGGCTTGCTGGGTGAGGAGAGTTACTGAGTTGCATAAGTTTGCAGAGTTGCTAGGAAGTTCTTCAATGCAGAGGGTAGGTAGGGGGAATCCCAGGGCTAGGGAGCTTGCAGGCTGATACTTTGAGAACCTTGTTTGCCTTTGTAAATTGCTCTGGGAGACCAACAGGGCTGGTTTCACATGCACAAAGGGAAGGCTGATTTGTAAACCACTTTCAGTTGCAAACTCTTGTAAGGGAGAAAGAGAGCGCATCATTCATTCGTCCTTACTGTTCTGTCTGGAGATTTCTCTCTCTTTGTGGATAGTATTAACAAAACTCCACAAAGCTCTCATGCATAGATTTATTGGAAGATAATCAAGGCACATATAGAAATATTGCTCATATTCCAATAGGCTGTTCTATGGCTCTGAATGAAGATGATTACAGTAGAAGCTTTTCATGAAGTTCTCTGTGGAGCTCTGTAAGGATGAAGTGAATTCAAACTTCTTCTTGGACTTTGCCATAACTAGGCTGCCAATAGATTACAAAGGAGAAAGGGAGGTTTCTTCCCGCTCTGGCCAGAGCCAATAGGAGGGAGGTATTTTCCTGCTCTCTGGCAGAGCCAATGGAAAGTAGACCATTGGTGTGCCTACGTTTCCCAACCTGCCTTGGGGTCTCAAAAGGGGGAAAAGGCACTATCTTTTCTTAAAGGGGCAGCATCGTTATTCCTTCAACCTAATACTAATACGCAGATTTGCTATCACTAAATAACTGACCCCTGTGAGGGCAGAACGGGGTGTGGGTGTGTGAGGGAAAACAGATCAAAGAGGTGCATTAACAAAAATGCAATGTAATAAACTCCTATACAGTCTTATATAAATTGATATAGTGTTATTATCCTATTAATGCATGCAGATATTAATAGCCTATTACATTCTGTATAAACTCAAATCCCCACTCAGCCATATGTGACCGTGGAGGCAGCCAACTGTCTCTCAGCCTAGCCAACCTCACAGGGTTGTTTTGGGGGTATTAACGCAATAAACAAATTAAAATAAATTAAGAACCAAAACCCAACCAGGATGGTGGAATTCTGCCTTGGGATGCTGGAGCGAACAGTCATTTCGTCTTAAGTGGCAAGAAAATTCTTACCCTGTCTGAGATCCTTACTGTTTCTTCCCTCTTCTTCCTGCAGTGGTCTATGAGCCTCCACCGCCAAGCCTCTCGCTGCTCAACATTCTGGTTTACTCTCTGCTTCCCATCATTGCCCTCTCCATTGCCATTCTCCTTGCCTTCTGGATGTACCGTCACCGCAAGCCCCCCTACGGGCACGTCGACATCAGTGAGGTAGGCGAGAAGCAAGGGGCACCTGGGAAACTAAGGGTGGTTTCAGGCGGCTAAGCATTTGCAGAAACTGCTTCTGCACCACCAGGCCCAGGCTGGAAGACCTAAGAGATGCTTCTCCCGGTTTGAAATTGAAAAGACTGCCTGTAGAATCCTTGGGAATCCTCTAATTTTATCCTGGGGGAGGCATCTGGCAAGCCAGCATTAGTTCATTAGTTCGTTCTATACCTCAACCAGCCTGGATTAGGGAATAGTATA